TTTTTTTTTTTTTGAGAAAGAAAAAGATTTGAGTCATGATGCATACGATGCACATTTTTCAAAAGAAATGCTTGTTCATTAAAACTACAATTATCAATCTCGTAACAGTGAAATTTGCATAGTGCTTGATGTATAAAACATAAAAAATTTTTGGTAGATTGAAACAATATTATACAATTTAATTATATTTATTAATTGAAAACTATATCATATTGTACATAATAATTTGATTTAAACATACGTTTTAACCATTATTTATGCAAGGAAAAAATACTTTGAAATTTTAAAAGAATAAAATATCAATAAAATGAAATTAATTATTTCATATTTATCGAATGAAAACATAAAAGTAGTAAGTGGTTATTTTAGTTCTTTTTCAATTATAATGTTTATAATAAACTTATCACCCTCAATATTAGTTTTATTTAATCATTTCATTTGAAATATCTTTCATAATACATGCGCACATGCACAACTCAAGATTATCCTGACTGTCTTTGCTTGAAAATACTCATAAACTGCACATCAGAAAACAAAATAGTAGCCGGAGAACAATTCATTCATAAAATTTTGTGGCTTGATTACATAAAGATATCTCACTAGCAATGTATTCGTACATGTGAACTCGTTATATAATATGGTATATAGTATGGTGTGTAAGTGGTTCCATTAATGACGTAGTTGATTTATTATAGCAGAGTTATTCACGAATATCAGATCGAATGATGTAATGTAATGATGTAAAATAATCATAACCAATATAAAAGATAATACACCGAAATACATTTTTCCTTAAATGAATTCGAGATAAAACTCAGAAAATATTGAATCTTTAAAAAGATGAATAAAGAATGATAAACTGCATATTTTGAAAATTTCTTTTAATTAGAAAAATAGATAGAGGTAGCTAATATGAAAAAAAGTCAAGCTATAAATTTAAAACTAATAATGACATTTCATACGACTAATAATGACAAATTCATACAATTTGAAATGTTTAAAATATGTACATATAATATAATAAAATATAATATAAAAATATATATATATATATATATATATATATCTGTTCGCTTTAATGAAAATAAATTTATATCTACTATAATATGTGGCAAAAAATTAATTAGATCAAACTCAAAATCGATTAATCTTCGTTCTTCGTCGAAATATTTATTCATATTTTCAGAAACATTACAAAAAAGTCTACACTACAGAAATATCTCAGAAAAAAATACCAAATATAAACTCCAAAAATAGAACAATTTCATTTCAATTAATTTAAAAATGTGATATATTTGCTAACTCATCAATTAATTGTTCCTTTGTCTTGCAACTTCTTGTACTTCTTTTCTCCAAGTTATTATTATAGTTTGGCATTTATACCTTGAAATTACTTCGAGAGTTTCTGTTAATACAAAATAAGTTTGTAATTAAAATTGATTACAATCTATTCGTGAAAAAGAAACATATTCTTGAATAACTGGTATCGTGAAAAGTAACAATTAAGAACCAAAACTTATATAGTTGTACAGGTTAGAAAATAGTGATAATCTTAACTTTTTATAGACACGAGCAATTGAAATAATTCTGTTTTCGATCATTTGAAAATCATTTAACTTAATTTTATCGGTGCTAACTACGTGAAAGTACATATATTTATCAACGAACGGTGCAATTCACTAAACTGGTTTACATAAAAAAGAGCACGGTGCGTTTCGTCAGTGATTACTAGACGAAGAACACTCACATACAATTTGTAGATTTGTAAAATCGGAATTCTGACATTCAAAAAATAGCACGTTATAGATACGTGAAGTATGGAAAAAGACACTTTGTTACGTTATTACTAATTGGTGACATACAGATATTGTTCGCCACATTAACTGGCAAGCTCTCACTAAAGTTTTCATGTCGTTTTATTTTCATAGCGCACAATTACGAATCAAAATCACCCATTAGGTAAGAAATTAGCGTTATGATTCTCAGTCATTAATTTATAAAGGACACTTAAATAGTACAATAAAATTAGCTAATATCCCCTTAATTGAATCCAGTATTTTTTTGCTCGTCTTTCCATCATTTGGAATTAAAACCTCTCGTTTCCACACTCAATCACAATGTTGTTCGTTTTTTTCTTTTCTTCATTTTGCAACTACAATAATTGTTGTGCACTTCCTATTATTCCCTCGTGGCAATTAATGTTTTCTTTATTTTTACTCTCTGTTTCTTGTCCATCCCGGTTAATAGTAAATAGAGTTAGTAATTTACAATCCATTGAAGAACACTCGTATCACTTCCACCAGTGGAAATTAATCGCGTGTCGTCTTGAAGAAATGATGCGTTCGTAACATGACTTGAATGACCACCGTACGTGTGACATAACGACTGAAACAAGCAAGTTTATTTTCATTTATCAAATATTTACTATTTTTTTCTTTAGATTTACATGATTACATCTTTTTGATTTACACCCATTGTCTATGGGGCGTTATTTCATAAAAGCGTAAACGTAATCTATTAGGTACGTGTTATGTTTGTGTTTTGTCCACCAAGTATACAGTAAAATATATTTTGTATCGTTATTAGAATTTTTTCACAATACTGTCAGTTTGACAAAAATTTTTTGATTATTTTTGCGTATATGTTTCGTGATAGACAATTATGATTAGAAAATGTATTTTCGAATTACTTCTCTCAAACACTAATCATTTTTACCATTAATGAATATCATGTCTTTTCTTGCATTGAATATTCCATTATGAATTGTTGACAAATTTCGATCCATTGAAAAGAGATTATCATTGACGATGTAATAAATAGTAAACACGTTTATTTATATTTATTATTCGATTGTCGCGTCTTGACCAAGATCTGTAATCGCGATAGAGAAATAGAAAGTTATACGTAAAACTTAAATTTTCATGGTTATGTTTTAAACATATTTGAATATGTATATTTTTATCAGCTATCACGATGTAATAAAAAAAAAATACATAGTTGTATGAAAAAAAATATCAATGACCTTGAACACTCCGAAAAAAATAACCTTGAAAAAAATATTTTTCATTTGCATCATCACAATTCGAAAAGATATTTAGATGGTCTCATTTAAATGGACTATCCTGTATATTAGAATCGGAAAGTAATGTCATTCTTTCCTTAAAAGTTGAATTTCTTTTCGAAACATTTATAGATTCACTTGGGATATTGCTTTCAAATTTCAATATGGAATTTTAAGGTGTGTATTCAGTTTTAAATGTGTTATTCAACTTTTATTCAAATTCTTTCAAATAAGTATGGATAGCGAAGAGAAAAACTTTATAGAAGAACATATATTAGACGCATTTAGACGGGGTAATAATACTACTAAGGCCAATATAAATTCAAGAAGTCAGCAATCACTGATAATGACGAGGATTCAGGATTTTGTCAACACATAGATTTGAAGTTTCCTAATCCAACACACAGAAACATCTTCATTAAAGTATTAATATCATGATTTGTATGAAAAGTATAAAGTATAAAGAATGTCACTGTAACTTTTTAATTTTTTGCTTAATGGCATTAAGAAAGATTCATTTCTAAACCAACTTGTGACAATCCACCTAATTTGGCACCATTAGACTATCATCTTTTTCAGGTTGCATCCATGAAGCACTTTCTAAGGAGATCCTTTAACAATGGTACTGTTGTAAAGTCAGTACTTGCAGAATATTTTATCAGTAAATCAGGAAATTTTTATAAAAAAAGAGCCTTGAAAATCTAATTGGTAGGTGAAAAACAATCATAAACGGTGGAAAATATATAATAAATTACTATTTATCTGTAACAGTCAGAAATTTTCATTTTGGTAAAGAAAACGACATTACTTTTCGGTAATATAATCATTATACCCTAATATAATCATTTGCATTAAGACTAATTGTAAGAGTTTTTATTTTGGTGAAAAAAATACGATTTGCAACAAACAGCATATGCACATGTAGTCTATATTTCAAATTATAAACGCACTTAATTTAAATTTTAATTTAATTTAATGACTTAAATATTACTGTATTAAAAATTACCTTTGGTTGGCAAGCAGGATAAGAAAACAATTTGACTTTTCCGAAGTCATCTCCAGTTGCGAGCAACTTCGAATCACTGCTACGAGTACAATTATTTACGTCTGTACCATCGGCACCTTCCGGCCATATTCCAATTGTTTCGAAGGATATTATACAGCTATGACTTGCCCACTCCATGTCCTTCATCATTGATGGTTGTGGAATTTG